GGTCACGACAGGTCCAGGGTCAAAATTTGGGTATATTCCCTTGTAATCTTCGGGAAAAAATTACAATTGAAAGTAAAACGAAGTGGAAGGGAGGAGGGGGAGGAACCTACTTTTCTCCAAAGAAAAAAGTTAAGTGTTTTAACTTTAAGTTTACACTATAAAACCGCGTTTTCAACCACAAAGACGGAACGTGAACTTTGAGAATGTTTCCTAATCTGCTTTTCCATCACTACAACAGGCATGTAAGGGATTTCAAGCCCGTCAGAAAAGTACCTCGACTCGCATCTCGATCCCCCGTTCGCCATAGACCGCAATTTCAGTTGCAAATCGACCGCGCCGGCTCGATGTCTTCGTTGCTCTTTCTTTTGTTCCGCTTTTCCTCACCAAACGAACGCCACAATGAAAAATGAGTTTGAAGCCGGCCCTAAATGTCCATAGCCGGCGAAAACTCTAGAAATAGTTTTCAGCTCGTAACTTTCCACCCGCAAGTCGAAACTCGACTAATCTTGCGCCAATGCGACCAGCTTGCCCTGATCTACATTTTCTTTTGATGGAAGACTCATCAAACCTCATTTCCCATCCTTTCTCGAGTCTTTCGTACTATCTTAGCCATCGTTACTTCTAGTTTTAAATCAGAGTGCAACTTTCAGACGCTAGCAACACCATGACTAAGAAGGGAAATCAGCTCGACCCGTCAAAACTGGATGACTTAATGATTCTACGATCTATGCTTTTGTCTTGCCGATCTCATCACTAAACCTCAATAAATCTTAGAGGATTTTTGAGTTCCGTCACAGAAGAAACAAGTTCGGATAGGGAACATGACACTTCGGGCACGGGCAAGTACGGTTCAAGATTGCACTTTCAGATGGGTAACGACAGGTATAGGGTATTGTTTTTAAAAAAATGTTATTCTCTGCCTTGTGTCCAACACGTTCAGTCAAACCATCCGCATGAGATGATTTTGAGATGTGGTTCAATGATCAATTAGCACCTTGTCACACAAGACGAAACTCAGGACATTGATTGTTCTCAACTGGTGCATCAAAGTGACTAAACATCCGACCAAAGAAAATATACGCTGCTACTCACTCGCCTTGTTACATAATGACACAAACTCAAACCACTTGTAGAAATGCACCATCATCATCAACACATACCGATGATGTTGTATAGTGAAAGTTAATGTTACAACAAAGTCCAAATAATTTAACTTCATGATATGCAAAAGTGAAATAATTTTAAGACTTGATTCACTTCCGGCTGTACACCAAGTCCCTAAACCTAATCAACTCCAAAACCTAGCTCCATGAAAAATTGAAGAGCACATCTATTATGTCAATCAACAACCCTCAAATTATCACCATTCTACTCACAATCCAAGGATGCTTCATAGTTCTGGAACTATCCTTACTAATAACTAGCACTCAATTCATCCGAATCTCCGAGCTATAAATTGTGCAACGTTTTCACACCATACACGCGCAATTTGCAAAAACTTGGAATGGGCACGACTCGACTCGACTCAATTCGACATTGAGCTGCTAGTCAACTTAGTCAAAGTCGAGTCGATTAGTCGACAACTAAGTTGACTCAAGTCGATTATATTGGGCGTTTCAAGCCGTATGAAGCATGGTGTTGTATTTTACAATGAGCATTGAAGTTAAGAACGTTTCGCCATGTCGTCAAAAAGACGATTCCATGAACGGAGTTTCATCATCATGTCCAGATTTTTGTCAACAAGACTACACTGGTCTGCGCGCGCAAAATGACCGCTATCGGAGAAAGACGACTCAGAAGGAATTGATGAGACCTTGCACATTAGTGTGTCGCGCGCTAGCAACGCGATATGTGGGAAGCACTTGGGGCCAATTGCGCGCCACTATTCGATGGGATCCGCATACGAATCATCCGCTTTTTGAGTAATGTCAATCACGTAGATCACAACTTGCATCGACGTTGGATCGGGAGCGCCGCCATCAGCAACACACAACGTGCGCTTGCGCCTAGCCTTCTCTAGGAGGGTCAAAGGTCTCGGTGCATCCTACTCAGCACTTGGATCGGGAAAGTTGCCATAGCCGTGATTAGTGGCAAGCTTGCTTCGCACAAGATCCTTCAAAGATATGAGATCATCAGGATGGTTGCGGTGGCGGAATCCAATACCACAGCCAGTTTTGCAAGTTGGCTGTTCAGACTCTCTTCGTACTTGTTCAACTTGTTAAGCATCGCCTCGGCCGCTGTCTTCGCCAGAGGAGTGGTAAAAACGGCTGATAAATATCAAGTCATAGTGTCCTTGTAGTGGCTCTCCAAAGATTCAAAGATTAAAGGAAGCATTCTAATAGTGGCATACTTCAATTCACTCGCGGTGGTGGTCAGCTCATAGGCCAGTTGTAAAAAGTCTTTTGACAGACTTGACTTGACGCCACTCTAGTGCAGTGAGACAGTCGAGTTTGTCTGAAAATTCAACACTGTTCGACATTGATTCAAAAACTTCTTGTAAATCGAAGCACCCATCAATCATCTGAAACAGAATGTTCCAACGATTATCCACATCCAAGCCTGGGACATTCTTTGTGGTAGGTTTGCCCAGCCGAATCTACAACTCCTTGAATGCCTCTAGCATCTTCTGCGTGTTGCGTATCATCTTTAACATCTCGCGCATCTTCGTCACCACGAGCTAGACCAACGTCTCACAATCGATAATGGCATGATTAATGATATGGCATACTCGCCATATATGCCAGTCACAGTCCAAGAACATATTCTACTTTTCGTTGAGAGATTCCATCACAATTTTCATGGTTGGTGGCATTTCAAAACCGCTATCGGATGTGATCGCTTGAATTTTTGTCATCAACTTGAAGTCGTCCAAGATTTTCAAGATCGATGTACTTGTCATGTGCACGATGTGCGGGTACGGAAAAAATTTGAATTCAAGAACAGACGATCGCTGGGTTCACAAATTATCGATCTAGTGCAAGGTCATAACGAAGTATCCGAGCATGACCCATGACGACCAGCCACAGAGGTCAACACCACACGACCAGGTATATCGGCGACAGTATTGCAGAAGTTACGCAAAGCAACCTCGTATGGATCCTCTAGCCCTCAAACTACTATGCGTCTCGAAGTAAGACGGTGTAAGTTGTTGAGACGGCTGACAAACTTTTGAAACTTGGAGTTTTCTACAATGCGAAACGCTTGCTTGTTATCTACTATCCAGTCCACAAGAGCGTCAAAGACGACAGCTTTTACATCGTAGGGCATTACATCAGGCAGAAAGATGTTTCCAGATTCTTGATGGAAGATCATGTGTTTGGGATCAAATTGGCGCTTTCCTTTAGGAGAGCTCTTGTGCTGTTCCTTCAGGTGTCCTGCCAAAATCGTGGTTGATGTCCCTCGCGCAAATTGTGGTTGCACATCTTTGCGTTGGAGAGACTAACAGGAACGGTGCACACCCAGTGTGATTTCGGGTTCTTTGCGTCCTGTGCGACGAAGTGTTCAAAGACCCACTACGACTTCTTCCACTTCTTTGTCTTTCCACCGTCAACTGTGCTTAGTGCAAAGCAGCACGAAGTGGTCTCATTATCTCTATCAGAACAGGACTACTATGTTATCTTCCATTAGGATCTTCAGTAGCATATTATAACACTAGAATGTGTTGTGATCGTCCATGCGAATCCTCAGCAGCAGATTATAACAGTAAAATGATAGTGCCGATGAGATCTAAGTCCGACCAGCTGCGCCACAGTCCGCCAAGGCGCAAGCGGCAAGCCCCGAGTAACGGACACACACTGGACTGTCCAGTACGGATTAGCATTTGCATACCCCTTGGCTGACCCTTGACAGTCGACTAGTCGACAGTGAGTCGACTAAGTGCCCATCCCTAGCAAAAACCGTCACGAGCAACTTCGAGATAACTCACAGACCACTGGATGAACTCGCATTCCGTCTCGATGCGATTGTAGATCAGCTCCTCAACTACGCTCAAGCCAAATCTCATCCGCTTCCTCGACCTAAATCTTGACCAAATTACAAAAATGCTATCGGCTGAAAAACCGTCGAACACGAACCAAAATCTTAATTTCTGAGGTTTCTCTCAAACCTCTCGACGAAAACAACTTCAGTCTGCGCTCGATCGTAGATCAGGTCCTTATCTACATTCTCACCGACTTTCGACAACTCAGGCACTTGAAATCTTGACTAATTTGCAATTTTCCTCCTCTGGAAAAAACCGTCGAAGAAAAACTTCAAACACACAAACCAGAATCTCAATTTCTAATTCTTTTCTCAAAACCCTCGACGAAAACACTTTCTGTTTGCGATCGCAGATCAGGTACCTATCTACCTTTTCACCAAGTTATATGAATCAACGTCAATAAAGGTCATGAAAACTGAAGAGTCAAAGCTCATACTTAATTGGTATATGAACACAAACTAGTGCAGTTTTTTTTTCAACCGAGGAAGAACACTACAGCACGAGACATTTCAAATGTGCAATATCTTGTGTTGATTAAAACTTTCTATGGAACATTGATGATGGTTATCACAGATTTGGCTGTACAATTGTGAAAAGAATTATAACCTGTTTGTGAAGATATGGATTTCATAGTAAGAAAATAAACTTGTTTTAGAAGGGGATCGAAAGATAATTATTCAAACAATCAGCAAGCTTCCAATCAATAGATTGGAAGTTTGCTGATTGTTTAAAGTTCCGGCTGATAGAGGACTATAATGGTTACCATGTACCGCGCATAACAACCCAGCCTGCCTATTGTGGTAATAGGAGCCTGCACGCCAATTCTGGTCTAAACTGAGGCAATAATTTGACCATGCCATCTGCTGCAGGCGCACTAACCAAATTCCAAGACCAATCGAATGCTTCTAGTAGCTCAGCTAAACGCGTCATATTATCGACACGCTGAAGTAGCATAGGTTGAGGGACTTGTCGGAACGAGAAGTCTAAGTCCACGCATCCTTTATGCATACTTTTTGCACCAATGCTTCGTCGTGAAGGGAAAACTCAAGACTTGCTCGGGACGATTACTCGGAGAAGGGATATTAAGGAAGAACAGGTTGTGACTTTCCTGGGGGGGGCGACGTCGACGCCAAATTCCAAGACCAATCGAATGCTTCTAGTAGCTCAGCTAAACGCGTCATATTAGCGACACGCTGAAGTATCATAGGTTGAAGGACTTGTCGGAACGAGAAGTCTAAGTCAAGGCACTCTTTATGCATACTTCATGCACCAATGCTTCGTCCTGAAGGGAAAACTGAAGACTGTTAAGGAAGAACTGGTTGTGACTTTCCTGGGGGGCGACGTCGACGGCACCTGTGTTGGTTTTTAATTTGATCAAGAGCTACTGTGACAACCAGATCCAACGAAGAGAAGAACACATGAAGGAGCAACTTAGCGCATCTTTCATCTGTTGAAGCTCCCCGCGGAGCTGCAGGCTGTTTATCGCATCGTCCTCTTGGTTCCCTCCCCTGCTCACTCTGTCTCCGGCACAATTGAGGGGGATATTTTCTGGAGAATCGGAGCTAAATATCGCGGCAGGGGAGCAGCAAGGGAGCCATTTGTTAAGAGAGAATTTTACAGTCCAGATCTCGGATCTCGAAGGGAGGTAAGTAAAGACGAGATTGTGCCGAATTCGGAGGGAGGAGGGAGATGGTTCATTTTGAGGTAACAAATTTGGTATTGATTTATCTTAAAGGAAATAACTTATCTTTCGGGCTGATTCCATCGTTGGAGTGACAGTGCAGCTCTCCTGGGAACAGATAATGCTATAGTCTAGAATTGTACTAAATTCTAGACTATTCTAGAATTGCATTTGATGCCAAAATCGAGACTCTCGGACTCCGTTTGTCATCGATATTGCTTTTTGGATTGTTGTGTCAGCCCGTGGAGAGGCCAGGATACAGCAATCAGGACAAGATGAGTTCGTCCTCTCAGGGAACCACCATGAAAGTGATGAAAAGTCCGGGGACGGACTGTGCACTCACTAACTGTGCCTATGTTTCGCCCTCTGATCTTCCGAGGTTTGTTCTTCGACAAGGGTTGAGTTCCGGTCTGGGGTTGGTCGGGAACAGCATGGTGCTGACCATCTTATATCCTTTTCACTGCGCCAGAGGACTTTAGATCTGAACTACTCCAGCAATCAGAAAATGTCGAATATCAGTTCATTTGAAATATTTGTTAAGTGTAAGAGAATGATGGGCACTTGAATTCAGGATATGTCACTCCTTCAGTGATTTGCATTTCCAGCGATATATATATTTCTACATATATTGTACGAAGTGGTCCATTTCTGGTGAATTTTTTTTCCGTGGTTACTTTTTTCTGCGGCCAAAGTACTTTCGTGTTTTGTATATATAGAGTTTATGGAGTATTGCATCAAGTTATAGAGGTGGTCTTGTATTAACGTTTGCATTAGCAAGGAGATGTCCTTGACAAGTACCAACAGCGAGTGAAGTCATCCAACCTGGTGCAATCGGCCTCAATGCTATTCATCGCCGAAATGTCAAGGTCTCCGCAAATGACAGTGTGACTGTGGTCAGGTAGATCTTTTTTCATTTAAGTTTCAAGAAAATGAGACCATTGGGTAGTCAAGTGTATAGGGGTCCATTTTTTTCGCCACTTTTTGAAAGTGGACCTTGTGTAGACAGTAGGGTATGATAACTTCCACTTGGGCAAAGTATTTCATGCGTTCTGTTAATGCTCATCCTGCTTCTTCAGGCATCATATGTAGGTCATATAGAATGATATCTATTTGGTTAAAAGCATGGAATACATTGCTGAATGTCGAAAGTTTGCTGCAGATTCGTTCCTCCAGAAAGAGGTTTCAACTTGGTGCTTCTAACTGTGGAGTTAGAATTTGTGAAGTTTCGTGGGAAGCCAGAACAGGTAATGAGCGATGGTCCCTGCTCTTTTCTTTGACTTCATTCACTCTGAGGAGTCCATGCTTCTATTTCCATGAAAATGTTCCCAGCTTCACCGTGTTCTTGCGAATGGTGGAATTGGAGTTGTGAAGTTGCATGGACAGGCCAATGTATCTCTTTCGTCTGATGCAGATGTAACATCCACGTACAAGATAACTCTTTGTTTTGGCTAAATGTTTGTGTTTTTATTTGGCAGCTGGACGCACAAATTCTTGCAAAAGAGCTTCAAAAACGTTTTGCCGGACAGGTAGAGGATGAATACAAGACTGCGCTTTGAAATAATTGCCAAGTTTTCTTTTATTCATCTGAACTTACCTGTTTACATCGCTGGGATAGAAAGACTAAGTGACAGTCGTTTTTGAGGGTGGTGATCTCTTTTCTTCTTCATCCCAAAACTTCCAAGAATTCTAATGAAGTCCGCTCTTGGGTTCAAGGCTGGCGATTCCAACGTTTCAAGTCGACCTGCATATAATCTTCCGTATTGCTTGATGATATGGTCGTATATGTCGTAGGTGTTGACTGTGGGCCAGAAAGTTACTTTCGAGTACGTCGGAACAAATTACACTTTCTGCGTAAACCAGACGCTTCTAGAAGGGAATTCTGGAAACGATGACTCAACTCGTGGCATTTTGACGTCAGAGACACACTTTATGTTTGAAACTCCTGGCAACTCTGGAATCAAGGTAAGTTCTAGATCGCTTTCTCACACTTACATATGCCAACTTCCTGGTCACTTTTCACTCTGTTGAGTGTAGATTATAGCAACTTTTTGCACTCTGGACATATTTTCATGATTTGGATTCGTTCCTAATTTTCCTCATGCCTTGTCTAATATGGGGTAGTATCAAATTTAATCATTTGGGTTCATAGGGTGCATGCTTCCACATGAAGTAAATTAGATACAAGAACGATTTCTAAATGTTTTTCTTTTCAACGGTGCTGAATCCTAAATTGCATGTGAGTACAAGCTCATCAAGAACCTGGAATTTGTGTTATGCCTGATGTAAAGTGATTGGAGCCCCGGCTAAACTTCGTTCGTGCAGATGCTGAATCAACATGGTGGCTCTTCAACGAATTTGTTTAAATCAAAAGACTTCAATTTCAAAAAAGTGAAATAGATACTCTGTTTCGCTGCCCGGTCTCTTAAAAGCTTGTAGAATCTACGAGTTTTAAACATAATAATCTAATAAATTGCATGGGCCCTGTTATTGCCTTTGCAGATTATTATTGTTCTTCTACTTATTGACAGGTAGCAATTTGCTATCGAATGTGCAGCTAGAAAGCTGATCAGATAAACCTGCACGCACTACACGAAGCTCTTCCACTCCGGAGCCCCAACACCAGTCAGCCAGCAATCCAGACAGGCAGGCAAGACGGGCCACTTCGGTCAGGCAGGCATCGATCCACAGCCTGGGCAGAAAAGAAATAGCACTCTGTCGTAATTGGAGTTGCATCAAGAAGTAGAAAATAGAGGGCAGGCGTCTTGGTCGACGGATGGCTGGTTGGGGTCGCGTTTTTGGGGCAGCAGCAGAAGCAGCAGCACCGGGGACAACACTCCAAGTGCCGTGCAGAATTTGACGACAGAGCTTATCGAGGGGACAACTGTTGAGCGGAGCAATTACGCTTCTTTGCTCTGGGAGCCTTGGGGCACTAAGTCTTTCTTATTTGCGCTCGCGGTGTGAGGTTTACTTCTACTTGGACAGGATTAGTGTAGGCCGTAGTGAGAAAGCATATTTCACTTGTGGAGGAGATCTCGCTGCTTCTTGTGGAAGATTGTAGTGCGGAAAACGCAATCCATCTAGCGAAGACAATCCTCCTTAAGGAACGCAATCCTCCTTTTCTTTCACATGCTTTAGGATAAAATGAAACTTCAGGTCAATATGCTTACTTCTTTCATGGACAGTATTCTTTGCCAATTCACTAGTCTACCCACTTTCCAAGTATATTTGTGTGGTCTTCTCTTGAGCAAACTTTAGCTCCTTCAACAATATTCTCAACCAAATCACATGACACACACAATCTCATGCTGCCACATACTTTACTTCGCACGTTTACAGTGTTAAAGCGAGTTTTTTCTTTGACACCCAAATGAATGCCGTGTTTCCCCCAAAAAAATACATATCTTGATGTACTCTTTCGATTATCTATATCACCACACCAATCTCTATCGAAGTATACCACAAGCTTGAAATCTTCGACTTTGGAGTAGAATAACCCAAGGGATTCAGTTCCTCGAATATACCCCAAAATTTTCTTTACTGCTTTCTAATGCGTGTAGACCAGCTCCTCCATGAACCAACTTACAACTCCAACACTATAAGAAATATCCGGCCTTGTGCATGTGAGATAACAAAGATTTCCGACTAGACTTTGGTATTTGGTCGCATCTATTCGTTCTCCATCATCAAACTTTGTAAGTTTTGCCCCATTGATGTTACAACCGGATTCCAATCCTCCATTTTGTTCCTTTTTAGAATTTCTTTTGCATATGTTTCTTGTGACACAAAGATCCTGGTATTTTCTTGTCTAACCTCCAGACGAAGAAATACTTCATCAAACCCAAGTATGTCATTTTGAACTCCTAAGTCATAGCCTCTTTAAAACCTTTTATCATCTCTTCTTTATTCCTCATAAATATAAGATCATCAACATAAAGAGCTACAAATAACAAATTACACTTTTCTTCCTTCCGTACAATGCATGTTTGTATGGGCATTGAGTAAATTCATTCTTCTTGAAATAAGTGTCGATGAAGATATTCCAAGCTCGAAGTGTTTGCTTTAGTCCATAAACTACCTTTTTCAATTTCAACACCTTCTTTTCTTCCCCAATTTTCATGTATTCTAGTGGTAGCTCTAGATACCACTCTTCTTCTAGCACACCATCCAAAAATGATGAATTGACATCCATTTGAAAAATTATCATTTGAATTGAGCTATTTGAGCAATGAAAATACGAATCTTTTTAATTCTTGTAATCGAAGCAAAGACTTCATCATAGTTTATTCTCGTCTTTTTTTTATACCTCTTTGCAACTAGCCTTGCCATGTATCACTCTATCTCGACTTGAGCATTCATCTTCTTTTTGTATGTCCATTTTACTATTATGTGCTGTTTTATTTTTGGCAATTCAATTAGCTTCCAAGTTTGGCTTCACTCAATTGCTTTTATTTCTCATTCTGTATTGTTTTTTCAAATATAATTAGTTTGGCATCCACCAAAAGAAAAATTTAATGTACCTCACTTGTTGAATCATACAAATCTTGCATGCTTTGCATCCTTGGTTGTCTTGGCTCATCTTCATCATCAATTGTTGGTGAATTTGCCGATGTGTTTTGTCATAACCGATAAAAACATACCTTTCGCTTTTGTCATCAAGTTTGGTACTTCTTTGATATGATACATACGCATAGGTCACACTACCAAACATCTTTAAGTAAGACACAAACAGTTTTTGTTCGCTTCATGATTTTTGTGGTGGGCATCGATTTTAAACATACATGGCGCATTGCACCATTTCTGCCCAAAATTTTTTTAATCATGTCTTTGCTCTTCAACATTGATCGTATCATGTCAAAAATAGTTCAAGTTTTACTCTCGACCACACTTTTTTGTTGAGGTGAATAGGGTGCGGTCCAAAGCCTATTAATTCCTTGTTCTTCGCAATAATTTGTTAATGCAACTGACATTGAATCTCCGCCTCTATTTTACCTTAAAGCCTTGATATGATGCCAGGTTTTTTTTTCCCTATTTTCATCTTGAATCTCTTGAACACATTGAATGACTTAAAGTTTTCTTCCAAGAAATAAATTCAAGTTTTCCTTGTGTAATCATCAATACAAAAGATAAAATATCTCTTCTCATTGAATAATTTTGGTGTGATAGGATTGCATATGTTGATGTGTATAAATTAAAGAGACTTCCTTGCACAATATTATGTCTTTTTTTGAAAAATATTCCTTGCCTGTTTTCCAATTACACATTCCTCACAAAATTTCTTGATGTACCATATACTTCTTTTCTAACTCTTTTTATCCATCGTAATCGTAAATGCCACAACAAGGTGTTATATTCCATGTTGATTGTAAACATCTTTGTTGCATATTTCTCAAGTTAAGTTTGAACATTTGATTCTTGCTCATTTCCACACATGCAAGCAATTGTCTTTTTTTGTCCTTCAAGTGCAACATTAGGTCTTTCATAAAACTTAATATTCCTATTTCAATAATTGCTCCATGCTAAGGATATTACTCTTCAAGTCGATCACATAATAAATAGTCTCAATTGACAATTCTTTATAATCTTTTTAAGAAAAACATATTTTAATTTCAGTCCTTTATTTCAACCTTTGACACGTGTCCATCCTCTATCTCTTGCATCTTCACAAAAAGGTGTTTGTGCCTGCAGATATGATTACTAGCACATGAATCAAGATACCACACCGTGTCGCTGTCAGAAACAATATTTTTAGAGTCCATCATAAGAATATCATCTTCTTTTGTTTTGTTTCTTGCAACTAGATTTGCATTTTTTTCTATCTTTTTCTTGAAATAACACTCCTTTGCATAGTGTTCATGCTTGCCGTAACTATAACACTCCAAGTTTGATTTGCGTTTTTTTGCGTAGTGTTCATGCTTGTCACAATTGTAGCACTCACATTTGAATGATTTGATTGGCCGTCTCTCCCACAATCACGTCCTCTACCTTGGCAATTTTGTTGGTTTAACTGCCCTTTCTTCTCATAGTATCCGCTTTGACAGCGACCTCTATCACCGCGATCATTGATACATAGCGCATACAACATTCTTGAAATTATCAATTAGTGATCGCAAAATTTTCTTCGCAACTATCGAGTACATTTTGCCCTTGCAGTTGAGCTGATTTACCACAATTTGCACACGCATGATGTATTCGGATACATCTTTTGACTCCTTCATTTTCATACCCTTCAACTTGCTCCGTAGAATTTAAAATACTACTTGCTTTACTCAATTGACTCAAACATCTTTTGTATAGTGTTCCACACTTTGTTTGAAGTTGATGAACCGGCAATTTTCTTGAAATTGGACTCATGCACTGCTTGGAATAAGAAATAGAAAGCAGTTTTGCATTTCATATGCGTTTATTTCAAAGTTTTCAAGTGATTCGCCGTCTGATTGCTTGTTGGCTCTTCATAGCCAGCTTCGAATACTTTCCATGGGTTTTGTGCATCAAGCAATGCATGTATTTGAATACTACAATTGTCATAATAAAACTTGATGAGTAGTGGCAATGACATACCACCTACTTACATTTTTCCAAAATTTTTTATCGACTGTAATACCAATTTGATAAGTAGGATATATATTTTGATGGAGGGAAAAGACAAAACTCTTTCATTATTCAAACTATCTTTTTCATTATTCTCTTTTGGCTTTTTACAACATAATGCAATACTATTTATAGATTGCTAACACACTTGAAATTTGTAAACAACATAAATGTAAAAATAGAATTCTAAACAACAGCAAATAATTCTGAACATTGAGCATTAAAACTATCATAGCCTTTTATAGAAAACTCCAAAGGACTTGAGACTTGAATCATTAGAAACTAGACTCCTCAATTGCTCAAAAATGATCTAAAATTGCACTTTCAAAATCATCATTTAAAACAGCCTTAAATATGTCCACTGTGCAATCACTAACTTAATGACAACTTAATTATGATGTCGATGAGTGTACTTCTCCACAAAGCAACTTGTCTTCTTCCAAGAAGAGATTTCTCTCCCCATCATCGACACAACTCTCGACTTGGTGTGTTTGCTCGTTGACATGGAAGATTCATTGTCGTTGAAGTTTCACGTCTACTTTGCCTGAATGCTTCATTACCATGACTAAGTCTGGAAGTCCATGAAAATGATGACAGTGTGTATGAGTATGTATACTAAGACAAGCGGGGTGAAAATCGTCTCATTTTCCTTCTAATGGCAATATCTTCTTAATCTTTGTCCCTTCATAAACTAATCCCAAAACTATGAGCAACTACAGTTCTTCTTCCAAGACGACGCCGTTATTTTGCGCAAAAGAGAAGATAAAATAAAACAGATCACGAGCATCATTCTCTACTCAAACTTGCTTTTTGCAAATTTCATGTTTATTGTCTTATATTGTTTGATCTTAACCTGACTATACTCTACATCTCTGTGAAGAAATTGGAGTCCTTAAACTTTCGATCACAATTGAAAATTTGAAAAAATTGATGCTTTACTTTTTTTTTAAAACCCAAACAAGTTTAAGAAATCTGTACTTCTTTCACTCGTAAAAAATGTATGTTTATGCATTACCAAGATTCTCAATTTTTGAACAACCGTCTCTGTCCTTCTCCTATCACGTGCATCAATATTTCTAACCCTTTGCACATCTGTCATGATAAAATCCGTAGTTGTACTCGTTGCAAACCCTAACAAATATGCAAGGAATTGAGTTTCTTGAGTGAAATGCTTTGTGCGAAACCCATTGGCTTCAAATGCAAACTTCACATAAAGTTGACCCAAGCCCATTTCACAACTTGAAGAATTCATGCCGATGCTAAAGGTACGTCATAGTTGATACACTGACAACTATGCTCCATACAACAGGCTCAACTCAAAGAACTAAAACTTCTTGAAGTTGTTGCTCGCATATACTCTTCAATGGGAGTGAGTATTAACCTATGCTCTACATAGGGTTAATTCAACTAGAGTTAATCCTAATCCGATGCTAATTATAAACAACACGTATGAACATGAAAGCTATTGCTATATAATTTATAGATACTTCAACCTTGATTTGCTTGTTTGCTCGGAACTAGCATACTCAAGTTCACTTTCATCAAAAATAGACATGAGAATACTTATTCTTTGACTCAAAAACATAAGAAATTCTATGTAAAACTCAATTTACGATGTCGCAAAAACATGGTGACCTCTCATTGTACATCAAGATGCACATATTCAAAGAAATTACTTTGACTTTTATTTCCTTACATCAAATCAATACAACATCTTGTAGCTCCAAAGATCTTTGTGGAAGACATATCACTAATAATTGGATTTTTCATCAATTTTTGCTTTGATAGCATACTAAAACTTACTCTTGCACAAGCGCTTCATAAATTTGAAACTTCTTAATGCCAAAATGCATAGTTTGGCAATAAGTAATGAACATTATGGTTTCATGGACTATGCATCATATAAATCAAGCTATGATGACACTATAAGATTAATGTTTGTAGTCACAAATTTAGAAAAATACATAAAGCAATCTCAATTTGAACTAATGAGTCATGTCTATATGTTGGTATGATAGCACATTTTTTATTGCTTTCATATCGTCAAAAATCTTTGATCATCATTGATTATGATACGCACTTAGAACTAATAAACTATAAGAATTTCACTATAGAACGCATTAATTGTTCATCATTTTAGTAAGAGTAGCAGCATGTAATTGTATTTGAGACTATAATTCACAAAAAATGAACAAAGATGAAAGTGATAATCAAGAGTGCAAGTTTTGTTATTCCATGAAAGTTGATTCATGTTCAAAGAAGAAACAAATCAACTCTAATATCTCTATATATACTCTCAAGATCTAAATTTAATCATCATTTTTTTCTATTCCATAAAAGGTGATCCTGTTCAAAGAAGAAACAACTTAACTTTAATATCTTTATAACATTAGAGAATTCAAAGAGTAAGTCTCCTAAAAATGAAATACAATTGTGAAAATGAGAGATGCATAGGATATTTCTTTATTCTTTATATCATTTTTTTCACAAAATTATCTATTCATTGCACAAAATCACATGCATTTTTGTCTAGAAGTCCAAGAAATTATAGTCGGCCATAGAATTTGCGTTCAGAGCATGTCAACATTAAATTGAACATCAAGCCTGAGATTCATTTATTAAGTCCGTGGGAGGTCATTGTGACTTCCCAGCTTCGATAAAATCTGTCTCTTACTTTGATAACTAGCTAGATCAGATCCAACTAATATCAATAACATCGCTTCTCATTGCTTTCATGCGCTCTTGTAAAAACATAATATTTGAGACGTGCGAGCTCTAATGCACGTCTAAACTTCAACGATGCGCGACCTTGAAGTCTTTCGCTCAAATATCAATCGTTTAAACAAAAACTGAAAAATTCACAAAACACAGATGCAAAAGATAAGCAACACATCTAAACACTTTGCCAACACAAGGCTACGTATTTTATCGCTGCCGGTCTACGTTCACAGAAAAATGAAGATTTTTTTGAAACTTAAAAATGTTTGAGAAAAGATTATGAAATCTTTATTTCATAGTATAATTTGAACCGAAACCTAATTAGTAGTAAACAACTTCTGTTTAATTCAAACATAAGTTAATACTAGATAAAAAATTGTAATATTTACTATTTCATAACATTTTCCATCGCTTCACTCATTTTTTTGTTATAATTCTATTAAAATTTTCTAATTAAATATCTATTATGAAGTGAATAAATTGATCATTATACAGTATCTCAAATCCATGCTACTTATTTGTGATTGTAGACATAATTATTCTTGATATGTGCAAATCAAGTTGATAAAAATATCTTACATATATATAGCAATTAAATTTCAAAAATCTATATTTATTTTGTAATTTGATAAATAAATTTCTTATCTCTTTGCATTTCAATTAAAATACACATATAATACATTTACATTTAAAATGTAATACTAGAAGTTAAAAAATATTTGAAAGCATAAAATTCTCATATTTGTACAGCCAATTAAGTGGATGAGGCCATTGCTTTCAACATTTTTATACATTTTTATCATTAGTACATTTTTTTATCTGTAAATATTTAAAATCAACATATTTAGGAGAATTTTTATTATATGCAACATACAATTTTCACTCGTATAACATGTGTTATGTTGATAGATCTTGTATGTACATTGCTTCATACAATCTACTGAATAATGAATATCACATATTAATTGTACATGTGACTCAATGGTGTTTTAATTTTTGACCTGAATTTTTTTCCAAATTTTACTTAACAACATTAAAGCATTTTTTCATGCCTGAACTCTGGCAATTTTACTTCAAAATTTAGAAAAGTCCGTTTTCAATCTTGAAAAAAATAGAAGAATTTAGTTTAGTAGCATATTTTATAGAAAATGAGATAAAAGACAAGGCTATTATTTAATTAATAAATATTTGATTTATGTTCAAATCAACTGTTTTCTTGATAGCATTCACTGCAAAGCTATCGATCGGTGCGATGTAAGAAACTTTGAAAAACGAATTATATATCAATCATTGAACTTATTATATCTATCAAAATTAGTAGTTGATATATGTCTCTTAGTAATAAACCTTTTTGAAATTAGGCCGTATATTAATAAATATGACAAGAAAAGACTTATAACACATCATTGATGCTGAAAAAGTACTTAGAAGGAATCTGCAATCTTCATGAATAGTATCGTTGGATTTAGATATTGAATATTTTCTAACAAATCTATAAATCAACGTCAATAAAGGCCATGAAAACTGAAGAGTCAAATCTCATACTTGTTTTGTATATGAACACAAACTACTGCAGTTTTTTTTCAACCGAGGAAGAACACTACAGCATTGGACATTTCAAATGTGCAATATCTTGTGTTTATTAAAACTTTTTATGGACCATTGATGATGGTTCTCACAGATTTGGCTATACAATTGTGAAAAGAATTATAACCTGTTTGTGAAGATATGGATTTCATAGTAAGAAAATAAACTTGTTTTAGAAGAGGATCGAAAGATAATCATAGTTACTTAAATTCCGCCTGAAAGAGGACTATAATGGTTACCATGTACCGCGCATAAAAACCCAGCCTGCCTATTGTGGTAATAGGAGCCTGCACGCCAATTCTATTCTAAACTGAGGCAATAATTTGACCATTCGACCTGCTGCAGGCGCACTAACCAAATTCCAAGACCAATCGAATGCTTCTAGTAGCTCAGCTTAACGCGTCATATTAGCGACACGCTGAAGTATCATAGGTTGAAGGACTTGTCGGAACGAGAAGTCTAAGTCAAGGCATCCTTTATGCATACTTCATGCACCAATGCTTCGTCGTGAAGGGAAAACTCAAGACTTCCTCGGGACGATTACTCGGAGGAAGGATGTTAAGGAAGAACTGGTTGTGACGTTCCTGGGGGCCGACGTCGACGGCACTTGTGTTGGTTTCAAATTTGATCAAGAGCTACTGTGACAACCAGATCCAACGAAGAACGAACACATGAAGGAACGACTTAGCGCATCTTTCATCTGTTGAAGCTCCCCGCGGAGCTGCAGGCTGTTTATCACATCGTCGTCTTGGTTCCCTCCCCCGCTCGCTCTGTCTCCGGCACAATTGAGGGGGATATTTTCTGGAGAATCGGAGCTAAATATCGCGGCAGGGGAGCAGCAAGGGAGCCATTTGTTAAGAGAGAATTTTATAGTCCAGATCTCGGATCTCGAAGGGAGGAAACTTAAGACGAGATTGTGCCGAATTCGGAGGGAGGAGGGAGAGGGTTCATTTTGAATTTACAAAGTTGGTATAGATTTATCTGAAAGGATATAACTTTACGAGAGTGTGAGGGAAGATCGCGATTTCTGTTCGGATCGAGGGAGTGTGAACAGAGCGAAAGCCGATCCGGTACCATGAGCAACAGCCGGTACAGACCCGTTCCGCACTCAGATGGACAACTGGGAAGGGTAAGCAGCATTATCGGAATGGATCGGTTGATGGACTGATAGATTTAATGTTTATGTGAAACTTGAACCCGAAATATTTTATTGATTTTGGTTCTACCGGTAAGGTAAGGGGACTCCAGAGTGCAGTAGCACCATGTGTGAACTCCAGCTTTAGGGAAAGGCAGGCAAGAATGGATTTGGATTCTCCGAATTTTGAGTTCTGAGTTTGGACGCAGAAATACGAGAGCAGGATTGAGATGTTCGGGCTGATTCCATCGTTGGAGTGACAGTGCAGCTCTCCTGGGAACAGAGAATGCTATAGTCTAGAATTGTACTTTGCATTTGATGCCATAATCGAGACTCTCGGACTCCGTTTGTCATCGATATTGCTTTTGGATTGTTGTGGCAGCCCGTGGAGAGGCCAGGATACAGCAATCAGGACAAGATGAGTTCGTCCTCTCAGGGAACCACCATGAAAGTGATGAATAGTCCGGGGACGGACTGTGCACTCACCAACTGTGCATATGTTTCGCCCTCTGATCTTCCGAGATTTGTTCTTCGACAAGGGTTGAGTTCCGGTCTGGGGTTGGTCGGGAACAGCATGGTGCTGACCATCTTATATCCTTTTCACTGCGCCAGAGGACTTTAGATCTGAACTACTCCAGCAATCAGAAAATGTCGAATATCAGTTCATTTGAAATATTTGTTAAGTGTAAGAGAATGATGGGCACTTGAATTCAGGATATGTCACTCCTTCAGTGATTTGCATTTCCAGCGATATATATATTTCTACATATATTGTACGAAGTGGTCCATTTCTGGTGAATTTTTTTTCCGTGGTTACTTTTTTCTGCGGCCAAAGTACTTTCGTGTTTTGTATATATAGAGTTTATGGAGTATTGCATCAAGTTATAGAGGTGGTCTTGTATTAACGTTTGCATTAGCAAGGAGATGTCCTTGACAAGTACCAACAGCGAGTGAAGTCATCCAACCTGGTGCAATCGGTCTCAATGCTATTCATCGCCGAAATGTCAAGGTCTCCGCAAATGACAGTGTGACTGTGGTCAGGTAGATCTTTTTTCATTTAAGTTTCAAGAAAATGAGACCATTGGGTAGTCAAGTGTATAGGGGTCCATTTTTTTCGCCACTTTTTGAAAGTGGACCTTGTGTAGACAGTAGGGTATGATAACTTCCACTTGGGCAAAGTATTTCATGCGTTCTGTTAATGCTCATCCTGCTTCTTCAGGCATCATATGTAGGTCATATAGAATGATATCTATTTGGTTAAAAGCATGGAATACATTGCTGAATGTCGAAAGTTTGCTGCAGATTCGTTCCTCCAGAAAGAGGTTTCAACTTGGTGCTTCTAACTGTGGAGTTAGAATTTGTGAAGTTTCGTGGGAAGCCAGAACAGGTAATGAGCGATGGTCCCTGCTCTTTTCTTTGACTTCATTCACTCTGAGGAGTCCATGCTTCTATTTCCATGAAAATGTTCCCAGCTTCACCGTGTTCTTGCGAATGGTGGAATTGGAGTTGTGAAGTTGCATGGACAGGCCAATGTATCTCTTTCGTCTGATGCAGATGTAACATCCACGTACAAGATAACTCTTTGTTTTGGCTAAATGTTTGTGTTTTTATTTGGCAGCTGGACGCACAAATTCTTGCAAAAGAGCTTCAAAAACGTTTTGCCGGACAGGTAGAGGATGAATACAAGACTGCGCTTTGAAATAATTGCCAAGTTTTCTTTTATTCATCTGAACTTACCTGTTTACATCGCTGGGATAGAAAGACTAAGTGACAGTCGTTTTTGAGGGTGGTGATCTCTTTTCTTCTTCATCCCAAAACTTCCAAGAATTCTAATGAAGTCCGCTCTTGGGTTCAAGGCTGGCGATTCCAACGTTTCAAGTCGACCTGCATATAATCTTCCGTATTGCTTGATGATATGGTCGTATATGTCGTAGGTGTTGACTGTGGGCCAGAAAGTTACTTTCGAGTACGTCGGAACAAATTACACTTTCTGCGTAAACCAGACGCTTCTAGAAGGGAATTCTGGAAACGATGACTCAACTCGTGGCATTTTGACGTCAGAGACACACTTTATGTTTGAAACTCCTGGCAACTCTGGAATCAAGGTAAGTTCTAGATCGCTTTCTCACACTTACATATGCCAACTCTCCTGGTCACTTTTCTCTCTGTTGTGTGTAGATTATAGCAACGTTTTGCACTCTGTACATATTTTGATGATTTGGATTCGTTCCTAATTTTTCACATGCTTTATCTATTATGGGGTAGTATCACATCTTGTCATTTGGGTTCATAGGGTGCATGCTTCCACATGAAGTAAATTAGATACAAGAATGATTTTTACATGTTTTTCCTCTCAACGTTGCTGAATCCTATATTGCATGTGAGTACAAGTTCATCAAGAACCTGGAATTTGTGTTATGCCTGATGTAAAGTGATTGGAGCCCCGGCTAAACTTCGTTCGTGCAGATGCTGAATCAATCTGGTGGCTCTTCAACGAATTTGTTCAAATCAAAAGACTTCAATTTCCAAAAGTTGGGCATTGGTGGTCTCGACAATGAGTTTCAGGATATTTTCCGAAGAGCTTTTGCTTCACGAGTCTTCCCACCTCATGTGATAAGCAAGTAAGAGTTTGAATCCAGTGGATGCACTCGCTTTTATAAAGGTCAGGAGTTGTGGGTTTTTGTGATAGCGGATGGTCCTGAACAAGAGTTTGAAGCTGCAGCTGGGAAGCGGAAGAACTTTGCTTATTTTTACTGTTGCAAATTGACTTGATCTCTTTGTTGTCGCAGGCTTGGTATTCCCCATGTTAAGGGTATGCTTCTTTGGGGTCCTCCGGGTACAGGAAAGACCCTGATTGCCCGTCAGATTGGAAAGATGCTCAATGGCCGAGAACCAAAGGTGAATTCAGTTTATTAATGAGTAAATGAATGCCATCTTGGAGCACTATGTTCTACGTGATGGAGACCTTTCAAGCCCGCGAGCTCGTGTGAGTGTCTTCACATAAGTATTGTTGAGACTGATATTAAGTGTATGTTGCAGATTGTAAACGGACCAGAAATTTTGAGCAAGTTTGTAGGAGAGACCGAAAAGAATGTTCGAGATTTGTTCGCAGACGCTGAAAAGGACCAAAGAGAGCACGGTGAGCACCGTATCCAAATGTAAAAAACCATCTGCATAGAGGTTTATCTTGCCTTTTAATAGGGACCTCCTGCAAGTCTCCATGTTGTTGGGCTCAGTACATAACCCAAGAGAAGGGTAGCTTATTTTTTCTTTTTGTTTAACCTGCTGCTGTTTGGTGCAATGTTGAGTAGTTGATCTAATCGGCCTTTTTTCTTAATGCCATGGATAAAGAACCATAATCTCACTTGATGCTTGATGCTTGCTACGTTTCAGGTGATGGTAGTGAGCTACATATTATCATCTTTGATGAAATTGACGCGATTTGCAAGGTAGGGACTACTCGATGTCACGCTTGCTAGACCATGCGCAGAGCCACCTTTTTTAATTCAGATTGTTGGATAGATCAATCTAGTCATAGAACCATTTCTGGCACTTTACTCAATGATGGCAACTTCATAAGTTGTCAGGCTGATGACGTCTTCTTTTAAAGCATAGAACCAGTGTGAATTTAGATGAACGAAACAAGTGTGTGCTTTCAAGTGTTTGAAGTGATCAGTTTCAGGACATTCCACAGTTTTCTTTTCTCACCTTGTGTGCAGGCTCGAGGTAGCACAAGGGACGGGACTGGAGTCCATGACAGCATCGTTAATCAGCTTCTTACCAAGGTAAATGATTGTTTATTTACATCACCAACCTTCGCTTAGAAGGCTTAAATGAAGCCACATCTCAGTCTGGCAGGGAGCTTGCGAAGGACGTAGGTACGAAGGCTTTTTTCGTCTAAAAGTAAGAGAATACTTGACTTGGTGGAATCGTTTCTTTCACTGAGTTTGCAGTATGGTGCTGAATGTGCTCTGCTGTTTGGTCTCAATAGATCGATGGTGTGGAGTCTCTCAACAACATTCTACTGATTGGTATGACCAACAGGAAGGATATGCTTGATGAAGCCTTACTTCGGTGAGTTTCGACACGAAAAGAAGGATTGATCCCGCGCTTAAAGACTGTTAAAGGATAACACCTGAATGTTTACATCTTTTCGGCCTATTTGTTTGCGAACTCGTGATGCTCTGTGGATCCCATTTTGTTACTTGAAATTAGATCCCATCGTACTTACCATTGAGATATCTAACTAAAGTATGCCATGTTAAATATTCCTCAGGCCAGGTCGTCTGGAAGTGCAGATTGAGATTGGACTACCGGACGAAAAAGGACGAGTTCAAATCCTGAACATCCACTCCAACAAGATGAAGCAGAACTCGTTCCTTTCAGAGAACGTGAATCTCGAAGAGCTTGGTAAGTAAATTCGTGTGCTTCGTCTACTAACTTGTGTATGTAGGATGATAGCATAAATGTTTCAGTTTCAATCTCATTGCTTCCATATCTACTGTCGTTCGGACTCTGGGTACATTTGAGGCTGAAGCTTTGATATCCCGGTTGTTACATCTTCAGCCGCACGAACCAAGAACTTTAGTGGAGCAGAGCTGGAAGGATTGGTGAAGAGTGCCGTTTCTTTTGCTTTGAACAGACAGGTCAACTTTGATGATCTTAATCAATCACTAGATGAGGACAACATCAAAGTGACCATGGATGACTTTCTGCACGCTCTTCAGGAGGTGAAGCCTGCTTTCGGGGCAGCCATCAGCTCTTTGGAGATGTGCAGGTGAGGTACTTAGGTGATTAAATTAGTTTCGTTAAGTGTTTTCGTTAGTTCTGAATTGTAATCACATACTCACGGCAGCCCATCTTCTTATGTTCAACTATGAGGCTGCAGTGCTTTGTCAAGGCTCAATATCAATTGCCTCTTTAGGTATAGCTACTAAGAAGCCATGGCATTGATGGTCATAGTTGTTTCTTTTCGCTGTTGCGAGTATGTCTAGGTTTTAGATTTTTTATCTTAGTGTTCACGCTGGCTGGACTGAATGGTTATGCAGGTTGAATGGAATGCTCGATTGTGGTCCAAGGCATAAACGTATACAAGAAACAGGGATGGCACTCACGGAGCAAGTGAAGACGAGCGAGCGAACTCCTCTTCTCAGCTGCCTCATTGAAGGCCCCAGCGGAAGGTATGGTTGTACATTGTGTTGCAAGGTAGAGAAATACATGCGTGGTAGAATGATCACAACTGGCCTGTATGGTGTTATCAGCATCTGGCAATCTCTTTGATGAGTTCATTTTTCTCCTCAAGTCATTATCAAGTGCAGATTAATCTAACGTGGAGCGTCTTGCAGTGGTAAAACTGCCCTCGCAGCGACAATTGCTATTGATAGTGACTTTCCCTTCATAAAGATTGTAAGTTTATTTTCATCATTCTCTGTTATATTTCAATTCGTTTTGGCAGTCTTCTTTTTAAGCCTTATCGTAGGAGTTAGTGATGATCTCTTTCAAATGCTCGTTACATAGTTCGTATACTGCGATATGAATTTTCTATTACGGGCTTCCTTGCAGGTGTCAGCCGAAAGTATGGTTGGTCTTACGGAGAGCACCAAGTGTGGCATTATAGGAAAGGTTTGTGTTTCTCCCTAACGTTGAGTCCAAAAGGATCAAGTTTTTCACATAATGTCTGGAAGAAACCGGTGTTTGAAACTGCTTGATACACCAACCACGCAGCAAACTAGGACATTCACAAGGGTAGTTTGTTTCTTTACACTACAAACTAGCGTCATTAGACACGAATGTTCATGTTACACTGTTGTTAATGTGTTCACAAATTAATGTGCTGTGTTATGACCTCCTCTCTATAACCAATAAAATTTTGGAATTTTACAATTGTTGAATAATCTCTGCTAATTACAGATATTTGAAGACGCGTACAAATCTCCTTTGAGCATCATCATTCTTGATGACATTGAAAGGTACATCCGTGCTCCCTTTACCAGTTCCATCTTTGTTCACTTGTCACACAGCTTTATACCTCATCGATCATCGCACGGATTTTCAGCACATCAGGTATAAGAATGGAATTCAGATTGGTTAGATCTGAAATTACCAGTAGTGAGATGAGTCGATCTTCTTTTCAGTCACAAAATGCTCACTCGACGGAACTTGTGCAGAATAATTGAATTTGTCAACATAGGACCACGATTTTCAAATCTTATCTTGCAAACACTTCTTGTGCTTATCAAGCGAGTACCACCAAAGGTATGTTAAGTTATTTGAGCTGCATTCTGATCTTTCAAGGTGTATTTTAACCAGTACTTGATGAGTATGTCATGAGATCTTAGTGTCAGGGATTGTCCTTTCGTTGGCTACGCTGCAGGGAAGAAAATTGTTGGTCATTGGCACCACAAGCATGAGATCCGTCATGGAAAGTATGGATGTTGTCTCCGCGTTCAACGTCGCTGTTCATGTTCCCATGCTCAATCATGAGGACATAAAGAAGGTACTGCTCGAGGACGTCCTCACTCTGTTCAGCTTTCCATATTTCCAAACTCCTGCATTGAACTCTACTTATTCGGGCCCTTCATTAAATTTCTCCAGAGAGTAGTTTACTGGTAGGCATTTTGTCTGCTGAATTCTCAATGTTCGATCGTAAGCTTGTGTGTTTGAAGGTGTGCAGTTGTTGATCTGAAATTATGTTCTATTGCTACAGGTTCTGGCAGGGCTCAATGTATTTGCACCCCGTGACGTCGATTCGGCTTTAGCTGTTTTAGATGAAGAGGTTTGTTCCCTTCAAATTGTGGTTGCCTGCTTTTGCTCGTTTTTACCTGCAGTTTATAGCTCCTTATCGTGTTTGTCGTCCAATATCGGTGTATACACCTCACTCTTGACCTAACACATGTTACGCATGATATTGCAGATGCCCATCAAGAAACTGCTCACGCTAGTAGAGATGTCGGCACAGGGCAAGAGCGGGGAAGGTGCTGAGGCAGTGTATGCCGGGAAAGAAAAAATAGACATCAGCCGTTTTGTGGACTGTTACAACGATCTTGCATCTTGATTCAGTTGGTTGTCAGCTTATCGTTGTTGACAGTTCTCATACTGCAGCATGCGATGCAGCGAAGGGTTGTCACTTAAGTCCTGTTTGGAAGATAGAGATTAGTCTCACTTACGATTCGTCGTAGTTAAATCCCCAGCCTGAATTCAGGACCTTCAGTCGTTCACATATAACTGGGCCCTTTCCATAAGATCAACAGATTTTACTTTAGGTGATGACTTTTGATCACACCAGTCTTGCTTTTGGCGTCAAACAGGCAAGCGTGATCCAAAATTGAGAGTACTTAACTGCAATGCATTGAAGTGCATCCGTGTACCATAATTTCCTAGGGTAAATATTTTTTGTGCATTTTCTCACCTGTCATGATCGTACACTTGTTTCCTAAATTGGCCTACTCTTTTGACTAAGTTCTCTTACTGCCCTGGATGTACCGTGTTGTTCCATGACGTGGTATTCTACGATTATCCAGTCTCGAGCCACCACGAAGCACACTCAACTTTGATAATGAGGGTTTTCTGGCCACGAAATGCCGCAACCGGTGAGGCCAGATGAAGATTCGAAAAACACTTGAATGCATTTTATTAATGAGACAAAATACTGCTAACAATTGCATAAATGTTGTTCTTTAAAGTAATACAGGAGATCTGAACAAATGCCTTTTCTCCATTTACGGCCGATCTGAATTGAAAAGGGATTTTCCCTTGTTTTGTACAACTCTTCGTCATTGTTCTCTTCAGCGGGAGTCTCAAAAACTTGAATAGCATAGACTTGTGTGCATATTCATGTTGCTTGTTTGTGAACGGCTATGACGCGGCGCAACTGGATGATCCCCACGCTGTGGAACGAGTAACACATCCAACTGTGAAACTCATCCTATCACATGCTGCTATAAAGGTTTTCATCGAAATTCCGTTCCTGCCAGTACTTAAAACCGGGAGCCCATATCTTCCACGGTGATCCACTACTACTGCCAGATAAACCTCATAAAATGTAGCATATTCTGCATAATTTACAATCAGAAAAGCTCCTGAGGGCTGGCAAAGAGCAACCTTGCAAACTCCCGTGTGCACAACACGCTTTTCGGGCCAGCTGAAAACATCGGGTGCCATTGTTTTGACTATTTCCTCGACACAAATTTACTAACAGCTCAAATGAGTCTTCTCTTCTGTCTATCATCCACGTCGTACTCTTTTCGTGGCCTATCGTCCCTCTCATACGTCCTGGATCGATTGTCACTGACATTGTGCGACTTCCCTGACCTGTCATGCTCACTGAAGGACCTCGAATGCCTTTCTTCACGACCAAAAGCCTCCCTCTGTTTATAATCCCCATTCTCATGATCCATTGAAGACCTGTAGTCCCTGTCATACTCTCTCGTAGACTTCCGTTCAATTTCAGACTTCCTAGATCTGTCATTCCGATCGTGATAGTTCTCCGATGGTCTGTTGTTCTCTCTGTATCTGTCACCAACGTCGGCTTCCCTTCCTAATCTATCATCATTCATATCACCTTCTCTCTCACGTCGTTCCTCCTTTCGTCGCGCAGTGGGACTCCCGTCTCTGGTGGACATCTTCGATCGTCTGTCAGGTCCGGCTTCTCTGTCGATCCTGTGATCGGTCTCCACCCGTCTCTTGGAAAGTCTGGCCCCCGATTCTGATTCAGACGATTCCGAGTCACTTGCACCTCGTCGCTTGCGGTGTTTGTCGCTTCGATTTTTCTTCTTCTCCTTGCCATCTCTCTCAACCTTCTTCTCGTGCTTGTAATCTCTATCCCGCTTCTTTCCATTCTTGTGATCCTTTTTTCTCTTCTTTCTGTGCTTACCATCATCATTATCAGGATCATCGTCGTCGTCCTCCTCCTCTTTGTCCTTCCCAGGCTTCAGTCTCTGGCGCACCTGGTTCGCCAGCATTTCCATTTTCACTGGATTCTTTCTGATTCTCTCCAAGGCCGCAAGCTCTTGCTGTTTGATGAGGTAAAGCGGGTCGCTGTGGATCTTCCTCCATTTGTCATTGGCAGACACGACGTTCGTCTCCGACGAAAATAGGGCTCCTGGGATAGCAACGCCGATCTTCTCACCTGGTTTTGCAGGTTTGTTGTCGCTTTTCGATTCCACAGAAGCCCTTTGAGCATTGTAATCCTCAGCAGGCTTGTTGGTACTGGGTCCAGCTCCAGAATCGTACAGGAACTCGAGCCGATCCTGCTTTGGAGCGAGTCCAGCTGCTTGATACTGCTGCCGCAACTCCTCAGCCTCGCGTTCCTTGTGAATCTGCACCTTCAACTCCTCCAACTTCTTTTGTTCTGCTTCATGTTTCTGCTCCGCTTTCCAAACGTTCTCTAAATTCCTCAAACTCCCCGTATGCCAACCCTTCTTGTTCAGAAATTTCAACGCCATCTCTACCCTTCCTCAAAATTCCTCTTTCCTCACGGGTTCACTCTTTTATCAATCTTCCGAATCCCCTCGAAATTCCCAAGTTACAAACCTCACTTCATTTCCAGTTGCTTTCCATCGCTTGCCCAGACGCTCAGAAGAAAACCTAATCTGCTGCTCAGTGTTCGACGTTCCCCGAATCCAAGCCAGCCTCCGGTGGATCTCCTCTCCTCTCGTCTCTCAGACTCAAAATCTGACCCAGCCAGAATGGGCCGTCCCAAGGCCAAAACTCCGGACACACTGAAACTGGAAATCAGTGTATCCGAATTCCCCTCGGTCGATGACCTTTTGCAGTGGCCAAGGATTTTCGACACACATGGACAAACAAAGTCCACTACCTTCCTCTGCGTTCCGCAAGCTTTCACCAAGTCGAGTCCGCCTTCTGCACGGTGCGCGCTCGAAACAGGGGACAGTTCCGATGTCGTCTACCACAAGGCTCAAGAAACCCCCCGATTTCCACCCCTGCTCATGCCCTGAATCCCTCCCTCCCTCCCTCCCAACCAGCAGCAGCAGCAGCAAGCGCAGCGGACAGAAACGTCCACTGCAGAAATTCGCAATCCCACGAACAATGATAACCTCTACCGCCAAATTCCCCGCCACTATGGATCATCGATTGAACCGCAAATTATCTCCATCTTCGTTCGTCTCGAACCGTGTCTCCCCTTGCGCGAATCCCTCTCGGCCGAGGACTGACTCCAAATTTTCATCCGTCTTACTTCTCTGTGGTTGCTTAATATGACACTCATGCTGAATGGACTTTCCTTTGCACTCAAATCTTTAGTTTAAACCAAATAGTAAATCCGTTCTATCATGTGGATTTTAATTTTGTGTTGAAAACATGGACATGCATTTTCAAAGCCGATTGCTCGTGCATTCCATAAGTAAACTTGACTTTTGCCTGCATTCAATATTGCCATTCAACAGGTTGGTATGTAAACCCATTAACAAGCTTGCATGGTTTGTAATTTTTTCACCAAAAGGATGTTTCGCTACACAAGTGGAGTATGTGATGGGCTAAAGGGAGGTGTAACTAGACTCCCGAAACTTCTACGATGGGGATTAGTCTACCATGCATGAGGAGTGTTTCAAGTCAACCCGATTGGGTTTCATCACATGATACATCGTGATGGAGTTCGGCTATCAAGATGTAGTAAACACCATTTTGTTGGAAGTAACCGCTAAACAACTGTTTTTTAGTAAGAGTTGGTATATTAAGTAGCGAAGGATTGATATGATAGGAGAATGAAGGGGAAGAAGACAAAGGAGATACACCGAATTATTGTAAACTTCATAGTTTACTTCACTTCATAATATATATATTAACAACATACAGTCTTGAGGGAAGTATACTAAAGGTTTTTGGGCTAGTGCAACAATGGCAACACACTGAATCCTAACAACATTTGATTACATTATTTGCATCTTGGAAGATCTTTTGGGCATTGTTTTGAATGGTGGTTAGACTCACATAACTGGATGTAAGTCTTATAACGAGATTGACTGAATGTCAGATTTCAAGCAAAGTCCAATAAATTTCCTATGCTTTTCAAATTTGTCTTTCAATAACGGCTTACCTAGCAAATATTTTGGATTCTTGTCGGTGTGAATGTACTTAAATCAATTTCTTCCTCTAACATACTTTCCCTCATGGAATGGTGTTTGCTTCAATGAAACAAAGTATTTTTGGCTAGATTAAAAGCACTGTGGTTTTCGCACTCGAAGGATTTTGGTACAGTTGAAGCATTTTGGAGCCAAGATACGAGAAGATGGAGTCAAAAAGCGATAGCAGCCAACCACATTAGTTACCGTGCTGCTGACAAGTGTTACCATGTCACCAGGTCCTATCATATATTTTATATCTTCTTGTTGTATTACTGATCCACATAGAATAGATTTTTATTCACATAGCATAAAAATTAAGGAGATTTTGCTTGTGTTATTGATAAAAATCTTGTAAAGGATTATTATCTTCCCAAAGTTACTAAAAGTAACATGTGATAGTAAAGGCTATCAACGTTATACCCTCGATTTCAAGAGAAGTCACTCACAAAATTAAACCCTTAGACATTGATTTTGAAAGACATCAAAGCACTATTATATTCTATATCATTAAATCTTCCTCTAATACTCTTGTCTTATATATAATATCTCTTGGTTTAATTTAATTAATATAAATTGAAAAAGAGAAAAGCTAACATATCAGACTATTGTTTCTCATATTTTATTTAAGCCCTCTTGAAATGTTACAAACTCTTGTACTTACCAAGTCCAAGAATTTTATAGTTGATGGTTGATGCCATAACCTTATGAAGGTTGCCAAGAATGGAAATATTTTTGCAATTCATACAATTCCGACATCTTCATATATTCAAGAACCAACCAAGTTACCAGCAAAATATGAGAAATATCGAGATATGTTTGAGAAGAAGAACCCTGATACACTTTCTTCAAATTGACCTTATGATTGTGGCATCGAACTCAAAGAAGTTGCATAACCTCCTTGTGGTTCAAACTACAACCTATCCAGTACAAGCTTGACTCATTGTCGGATTACCTTGATGAAAATCTTGCAAAAAACTATATTCAACATTTGAAATTATTTGTTGGAGCTCTTATACCACTTGTGAAGAAGAAAGAAGTCTCGATTCAAATGTGCGTGGACTATTCGTGGACCTAACAAAATCACAATAAGAAATCGGTGTATATTGTTGTTCATCTCATGAATTTATGACCAACTCAAAGAAGGTGCATAACTTCCTTATGGTTCAATCTACAACCTATCCAGTACAAGCTTGACTCATTGTCACATTACCTTGATGAAAATCTTGCAAAAAACTACATTCAACATTTGAAATTATTTTCTGAAGCTCATATACCACTTGCAAAGAAGAAAGAAGTCTCAATTCAAATGTGCGTGGACTATTCGTGGACCTAACAAGATCACAATAAGAAATTGGTGTCCATTGTTGTTTATCTCCTGAATTTATGACCAACTCAAAGAAGGTGCATAACCTTCTTGTAGTTCAATCTACAACCTATCCAGTACAAGCTTGACTCATTGTCATATTACCTTGATGAAAATCTTGCAAAAAACTATATTCAACATTTGAAATTATCTGCTAGAGCTCCTATACCACTTGTGAAGAAGAAAGAAGTCTTGATTCAAATGTGCGTGGACTATTCGTGGACCTAACAAGATCACAATAAGAAATCGGTGTATATTGTTGTTTATCTCATGACTTTATGACAAACTCAATCAAGCAAAGATTCACATCAAGATTGATTTTGTGGAGCATACAACATTATACGTATCAAGGAAGTTGACAAATGAAAGACATCAAGATTGAACTTTGTGGAGCCTACGACATAATACCTATCAATGAAGGTGAATGAAAGACGACGTTTCAAACTAGGTATGGACAATTTAAATATAATGTGATGCCAATGCATCTACCGTATTTGAACACTTAATGAACAACGTATTTCAAGAAATTATAAACAATTTTTTTGTTTGTTATTTCAACGATATATTGGTGTTCTTCAAGAATGAAGAGGAGCACATCAAACATGTACGACAAGTGTTAGAGAAGCTGCGTAGTGCTGAATTATAAGTCAAGTTAGATAAATATGTGTTTTATCAATCTGAAGTCAAACTCTTGAACTTCATTATTTGTAAAGAGTATCTATCCATGGATCCAAAAAAAGATTTGGACAATCACTGATTGGATAAAGCGGTGATTGTCCAAGATGTACAATGCTTCGATAATACTAATTAATACTGATAATATAGTTCTACTTTCAGAGATGATACTAACTACTACTGACTGCTACAGTCCAAGTATTGTGTGAATTGTTGTCTTAACACTACAACTACTATTTTATTCTTGTGTGAATTGACGTCCGCAAGAGATACACAGCCTCTTTGTTTCCTTTCAACAAGATGTTGAATTACGATTCGATTGTGCCATTGAAAATAGATGGTTGTTGCGTAGACTACAAAGAGAATAGTTCATTGAGAGCTTAAAAAAACAAACTTCAATGGATCGGCGGATATAAGGACAAATGAGATAATTTGTGTCATTATTGCCTTGGATATGCGATTCTCTCTTTGTAAAGCAAGCCAGAGTCAAAGGTTTCATGAAGATAATGTAAGAGGTGTTGAAACTTGTTCCAATGTACTATTTGTGGTTTATTTATAAACTAGCTAAAAAATTCAACATCATACAAAATATTAGACGAGTGTGATAGAGTAAAATAGCTTATACATCATGTGAAAATATTTTGGAATGTACACAAATGTTGTATTTGTATCTACTTCAAGAAAAAGTCAAATCAGAAGCAAAATTGGTTTGATATGTGACGCGCCCAAGTTTACACTCATTGATTAAGTATGTAATGTAGTTGGTATGATGCATAAAAATTCCTCCTTATTAGTGTGCACAAAATCTTTCCAAGAAACTAAGAAATTTCATCTTATATCATAAGTTAAACTAGATCTTGATTTTGAAAACACATCAAATCTACTATCAAAAATTAAAAAATCATTAACATACAATAAAAGTATATCGATAGTTTTACCTTCACGTAAGAAATATATGTTAAGATTTAGCTAACTTCTAGTTCACTTGTTGGAGCAAAGGTACATGTCAATCTCCTTGTACCACTAACGAGTAGATTGTTTAAGCTCGTATGGATACGGTTTCAATAAATACATCATATGGATTCAGTCTGAAATCTACTGCAAGTACATCAACTTTTGTAGATTACCATTAAAAAAAGTAGTGATAAAGCGCATATGATGCATATTTAAACCAAAAGTCATAGACAATGTTATCATTGTTGAAAGGGTAGGACAACGAACTAGGGTAAAAAAAAATCTTGTTGTAGTACATTCCATACTTTTGCTCCAAGTCACAAGCAACAAGTTTAACTTTCAGACAAAAATGTGTTGGATTAGGCTACTATTTAGCTTTAAAGATCTAACGTGAAAATAAAGCCTTTTTGCTTTAGGAGTGAATAACAAATTTTCAAGTGAGATTGACAATAAGAATGTTAAATTATTCTTGAATTGCATTGCTCCAAACCGGGTAAAGCTGTGCTTGGTGGAATGAAATCTGGTTATTAATCGATTGAACCGCATTAAGAACATTGACTTGATAATTTTTAGAGGTGTAATAATTGTCAAAGAAAGTTGATAGTCGTTGCAACATTGAAGAATTACGTTGTGAAAAAGATTTATCCAAGACAATCGAGTATGCGACATTTTTAGACGTCATAGGATTGCTTCATAAAAGTGCTGGACATTGCACTAAGTGTTTGAGATTTGTGAGAATCCGTAGGAGATGCAAAATTGTTAGGATGACAATTGTTACCTCTAAAAGTGACAACAAAATAAAAAGTAAAATATTATCATCAAAATGGAAGGAAAAAAATTCATAAATAATTGA